GCAGTTCCTAGTGAGCAGGCAAAGAGTCTATCCATTGAGCCAGACTGGCTAGGACGATGCCTTAATTTTAAAGTTCATTTTCCTCTAAAGTAAAATCTGTACCGTGGGTTAGTGGACATGTGCCATCCTCATTTGTCAGTGTTAGAAAACACATCAGAGTACGTTATTAGGGCAAAGTGATCTTATTGGATGATTCAGGATATTCCCCTAGGTCCAAACCATTTCTCCCTAAACGCTGTTTTCATGTTGGGTGACATTATGATCTCTTCTGTTGACCTCTTTGTAAACGTGTCTTTTATTTCAGGGACCATTGACCTTCAGGGATGTGGCCATAGATTTCTCTCAGGAGGAGTGGGAATGCCTGGATGCAACTCAACAGAAATTATACATGGATGTCATGTTGGAGAACTACAGCAACCTGGCTTCTCTGGGTGAGGATGGCTTCCTTCCCGAGTTCCTACTCCATCTCCAGGGTTTTGTTTCCTTTATTATTTTAACACTAGAGGACTGGTGCACGAAATTCTCGCGGGGGTAGGGTCCCTAGGCCTGGCCTCCCTGCCTCCTGTGCTCCTCCTTCCCTTACTCCCTCGGCACCTTGCTGCCTGTGCTGGTCACCTGCCATGTCCCCCTGGTGGTCAGCGCAGGTCCTAATGAACAACCGAACTCCCACTCTCCCAGTTGAATTCAGAAGTGGACAATTTGCATATTAGCCTTTTTATATATATAGATAGATGTCTAGGGGCCTTCTGCTTTCTATGGTAGATTTTTGCTCTCGAGGAAAATTTGGGCCCTAGCTGGTTTGGCTTAGTGAATAGAGCACTGGCCTGCAGACTGAAAGGTCCCGAGTTCAATTTTGGTCAAGGGCCAATGCCAGGGTTGTGGGCTTGCTGCCCAATATGAGGTGTGAAGGAGTCAACTAATCAATGATTCTCTCATATCATTAATGTTTCTATCCCTCCCTGCCTCTCCCTCCCTCTCTAAAAGCAATAAACATATCTATATATTTTTAAAAAGGAACAAATTGGGCTTCTTTGGTGTAGAAAAGAAAGGCTTTGTGATGTATGTGAATTAGAAACTTAGTGTTTGCACACTTTACATGTTGTCCACAGTGATTAAGATAGTATCAAAAATAATATTTTAGAAAATAATTTTCTAGAATATTCTAAGATTCTCCCATGTCTTCTGGCCATTGAGCAACCAGGATTGGAAATGGGAAAGCCTTTATCTATCAAAATTCACACTGCATTTTCTTATATTTTTGTATTTTTTAAGATTTTCTTGATTTCAGGAAGGAAGGGAGAGTTAGAGAGAGAGAGAAACTTCAGCTGGTCATTAATTGATTTTTTCGGTACGTGCCCAACCAGAGAGAAAACCTATGACTTTGGTCTATCCGTACAATCATTTAAGCAACTGGCCTACTACCTGTGCAGGCAGATTGTATTCTTTTACGTAGTTCTCTCCATTTAGGTTTTTATTATGTCTTTTCATGGCTTGATGTATTATTTCTTTATAGTAGTGATTAAAGCTTCCTTGAATTTCCTTCAGTGTATTTATCCATTCACTTGTTGACAGGCCTCTTCATTGCTTTTAGTTTTTGTAAATTATGAATAAACAGCCCCTTGTAGGCTCTTATGTAGATAAGTGTTTTTATTTTTTAAATACATTTTACTGACCTTTTATAGAGAGGAAGGGAGAGGTTTTAGAGAGTTAGAAACATTGACCAGCTGGGGTTGTGCCTGCAATCAAGGCACATGCCCTTGACCGGAATCGAACCGGGACCCTTGAGTCTGCAGGCTGACGCTCTATCCACTGAGCCAAACTGGCCAGAGCTGTAGATAAAAGTCTTAATTCTTTGGTTTAATAGTGAGGAGCCCAATTAGTGGATCCCATGGCAAGTTTATATTTAATATCATAAAAACCTCCAGACCATCTTCCCAAGGGGCTGTAGCATTTGACATTTTCACCAGCAGTGATTGGAGTTCCAATTGCTCCACATCACAAAGGCATTTGGTGGGGTCAGTGTTATGTATTCTGACCTGTACGATGGTGGTTTAGTGTTGCTTGCCTGTGCTGTTTGTAGTCTCATTTCTCTATTTTTTAGCTACTTTGTTATGCCTAGGAAGATATATGCAAACCAGTACTTTAAAGATCGATGGTAAAGTTCATTGACTATGCTTCTTCCAGTGTTTTCATGGTTTCAGGTCTTATATTTTAGTCGTTAATCCATGCTGAGATCATTTTGGTTCATGGCCTATGAACTGGGTCTAGTTTTATTATTTTTTCATGTGTCTGTTCCGTTTTTGTTGCACTACTTGGTGAAGAATCTGTCTTCACCTATTGTGTACTATTGCCTTCTATCTTTTTTTAAAAAATATATTTTATTGATTTATTACAGAGAGGAAGAGAGAGAGATAGAGAGTTAGAAACATCGATGAGAGAGAAACATCAATCAGCTGCCCCCTGCACCTCTGATTTTTAGAGAGAGAGGAAGACAGAGGGTGCAAAAGAAACATTGATGTGAGAGAGAAACATCAACCAGCTGCCTCCTGCACACCCACCACTGGGGATGTGCCCGCAACCAAGGTACATGACCTTGACCGGAATCGAACCTGGGACCCCCCAGTCCACAGGCCGACGCTCTATCCGCTGAGCCAAACCGTTTTCGGCTGCCTTCTATCTTACAGATTAGTTAACCATATACCTTTGGACATTTTTTAAGTTGTGTTTCTTCTTTTGCATGTTTTCTTGTAAAAGGTCTGTATATAATCTGCATATTAACTACTTATCAAATAATATGCTTTGAAGAAATTTTTTCCCATTTCGAAGCTTGTATTTTTAACATACTGACAATTTGCTTTAATGTGAAGTAATTTTTATATGGGGTGTAATGCCTTTTGACTGTTTTGTTTACCTTTCCTTTTAGTGATATAATAAAAAATCACATGTCATAAAAACTTCTATATGTCCTAGCTAGACTGGCTCAATGGATAGTGTGTCAACCTGTGGACTGAAGGATCCCAGGTTCGATTCCAGTCAGGGGCACAGGACACAGTTGCAGGCTCAACCCCCAGTACGGGCCATGCAGGAGTCAAACAATCAATGAATCTCTCTTAATGTTTGTATCTCTCTCTCCATCTCTATTCCTCTCTGAAATCAATAAAAATGTATTTTAAAAAATGTTTCCTATAAGTTTTTTTTAAATAGATTTTTATTAGCTTTATGTTTCAATCTTTTATCCATTTTGGTTTAATATTTGGGGTTTAGGTCACTGTGGGAACTAATGACATCTGATAATGTTAGCATTTCAAAGTAGAATCATGGAATGTGTTTTTCAACTTAGTGGTTTCTTCTTCAATTACAGCCAGCAGTGTGCGTGCGTGCCATTTAATAACAGTCCAATTTCACTCATTCCTTTACATGTAGACATCTGAGTATCACAACACTATTTGTATATGTGAGAATATCCTTTACTACTTTGGTGGTATAAGCACCCTTGTAGAAGATTATTTTACCTCATTCCTGAGAAGTTGTAAGGAGGCTCTTTATTTTACAATGCTTCTTTTTTTGTAGTTGTTGTTAATCCTCACATGACATTTTTTCCACTACTTTTCAGAGAGAGTGGAAGGAAGGGAAGAATGAGGGGGAAGAGAGAGGGCAACATCGATGTGAGACACATCGACTGGCCCCCTCTTTCTCACACTTCAACCCAGGTGGGGTAAGAATTTGCAACCGAGGTCTGTCCCTTTAAGGGGAATTGAATCTGCAGCCCTTAAGTGCACAGGATGATGCTCTAACCCTGAGATTAGTTTGTTATTTTGTAGTAATTTCTCTCATGTACAGGAACACAGCTAACCTCATTGGTTGGTTCTATATACCATGTTTTGAGAAATTAATTAGATACATGTATATATTATTAGATATATAGTCTGTGATTTGCAATACAGAATTCTGTCACCTATTACTCCTTTATTTACCTGTGTCTTAACGTGTTGATGATACTTTTGATAATGCCAGTTTTGAAATATTTTTTTAAATCAGGAAGCATGATGCCTTTAAGCTTATACTGTCTCTTCCATGTTTGTTTTGGTTCCTTGGTGTCCTGGGTCATTTTATATCACTTTTAGGATGAGGTTTGCTGACTTTGTGAAAAGTGTCCCTGGGACGTGGATAGTGACGGCTTTGAATGTTTATGTCAACAGAACATTTTATTTTCTATTTTTTTTATGACCATGGGAACCGCTTAAAATATATTAAGGTTATAACAATCTATCTTAAACTCATAGTGTCAGTTGCATACAAAAACTCTGCTAATTGCTATTTCTACCCATGTACACACGAGTTGATATCACGTTATTTTTTACATTGTATGTCTTACAGCAGAAATTTAGGATTTTATTCCTTTTATTTTTTTATAAATACATTTATATTTCAGAGGAGGAGATGGGGATAGAGATAGAAACATCCATGATGAGAGAGAGCTTATACTGTTAGAATTCCAGTTTAAGGTCATTGCATGTGTAGTTAGTTCATTTATTGAGTTTTTCTTTAATTTCAGCCAGCACTAATTTATACTCTATTTTATTGACAATGATGAGAGAGAACCATTGACCGGCTGCCTTCTGCATGACCCCTACTTGGGATTGAGTCTGGAAATGATGGAATCAAATTGTGACCTCCTGGTTCATAGGTAGACCCTTTACCACTGAGCCATGCTGTTCAGACTATTCCTTTTATTTTCTAAAGTTCCACAAGAGAAATCAAAGTGATATGTGTTTCTTTTTTAGAACACCACAAATTTTTATATTTCTCTATATTTTTCCACAAACAAGGAATCTTCACTATGTTCATATTTTAGTGTTGTATTGAATTTTTAAATGACCTCCAGAATTAATTTCTTAAGGCTTATCTATAGGGCAGGTCTAACAATGAGAAGGTCTAATAATGAGAAAGTTTTGGTGCTGGAAAAGTTTTTCCTTTCCATTGTTGATCATCTGTTTTGTCAGTATTTTTGTTGGGTGGTTTTTGTTCATTTACCAGTTCCGTGTTTTATTTCATGCCCTTTTTTTTTTTGCCCCCAATAGTATTCTGCTTAGAAACACCCTAATGATCTTAGAGGACCTGTCTTTTCCATGAGAAGTTATATTTTTACTAGAGGCCTGGTGCATGAAATTCATGCACTTGGGAGGAGTCCCTCAACACGGCATTCACCCTCTCGCAGTCCGGGAGTCCTTAGGGGATGTCTAACTGTCATGGGTGTGGAAGAGGCTCCCGCCACCGCTGCCGCACTCACCAGCTGTGAGCCCAGCTTAGGGCTTCTGGCCGAGAGGCATTTCCCCTGTGGGAGTGCACTGACCACTAGGAGGCAGCTCCTGCATTGAGCATCTGCCCCCTGGTGGTCAGTGTGCATCATAGAGACTGGTCATTCTGCTGTTGGGCCAAAACTGGCTCTCCTACATCCCCTGAGGGGTCCTGGATTGCGAGAGGGCACAGGCCAGGCCAAGGGACTCCACTGGTGCATAATAGGGGCCAGGGAGGGATGTGGAGGATGACCTGACAAGAGAGGGACTGCGGGAGGGCTCAGGGTGTGTCCAGCCCATCTCGCTCAGTCCTAATCAGCTGGACTCCAGCAGCAAGCTAACCTACCTGTCAGAGCATCTGCCCCTGGTGGTCAGTGCATGTCATAGCGACTGGTCAACCAGTTGACTGTCTGCCCTCTGGTGGTCAGTGCATGTCATAGTGAGCAGTTGAGTGGCCTTAGAATATCATTAGCATGTTATGCTTTGATTGGTTGAACGGCTGACTGGACAACCGGGCACTTAGCATATTAGGCTTTTATTATATAGGATAGGATATTCTGTTAAGACAGTATTCTGGTACTTATGATACTTGCATTGTTTTTTATCTGTTCTCATGTTTATATTCATTCTAGTTAGAATTCAGTTAGCTGCTTGCGTTTATATGTCTCTCCAATTGTCAGGATCTTACATGATTAATTTTTTAATATATATATTTTTTATTGATTTTTTTTTTTTTTTTTACAGAGAGGAAGGGAGAGGGATAGAGAGTTAGAAACATTGATGAGAGAGAAACATCAATCGGCCGCCTCCTGCACACCCCCCACTGGGGATGTGCCCGCAACCAAGGTACATGTCCTTGACCGGAATTGAACCTGGGACCCTTCAGTCCGCAGGCCAACGCTCTATCCACTGAGCCAAACTGGTCAGGGCATGATTAATTTTTTATATACCTAGCTACTCCTTTCCACATTCCTGTCTTTATGGGGTCCTCTTGGAGGTCGATTTATTAGTGTCAGGGATTTCTGAAATTCTCTTCATATTTGCACATGTTTGTTGACTTTTATTCATCAAAATGTTAATTAATTAACATTTTAATAATTTACGTACAAATTCTTTGATTATTTAATTTTTATTTTTTTAAAATATATTTTATTGATTTTTTTTTACAGT